GTCTCTTTTTTTGTACTCTTTCACCTTCCTAACAATTGAAGTCGCCATCTCTGTATATATGATGCATATGTCCTACACTAGTGGTGCAATCACGGCTCCCATTTTGTCCGTAAAACTAAACTATTTGTTTCTTACATAGCCTGCAGCTGGTGTGTTAGGAACACATAAGAAAGCGGCAGTGTTTGAAATGATACAGGAAGGAGTTCAATTCCCTAGTGGCTATTTCTATGGAACAGAAATGGTAAGAGTAATGCTAACTTTTGTACAATATTGCCATGGAAACACTGATGGCAGTAGATTGCTCTGCTTTTATGATCTACCCATGAACAGTGACTGGGTTCAGTCCACATATCCAGTGGATGGGCCATTAACTAATTTCCAGATGTTAAGAATCTTGTGAAATTAAACTTTTCTTCTTTGTTTCTGTCATAAAAAACACAGAAATACAGAAAATTCTTATAATTTTAGTAGTACCGGTAACCTAAATTGTGAAGATTGGCTATTGACTTGATACATAACCCTTTGAATGCCATCATTTTTTTATGCTAAATAACAAATTATGTCAAGTACACTTTTAACAATTGTGTTTTAAGTCAAATAAGTAAACAGTTTAGTTTTTAGCTTGACCATTGCACTCAAAAATTATGTCCTATCACATTGAAAGAAAATACTGAGAACAGTGTCCTTTGAAAAGATTGAATAAAACCTAGAATTTAGGGGCATAGACGCTGACTATACAAACATTTTCTAAATAATCTTATTTTATGTGTCTCGACAGGATATGTTGGAGTTTGACAATGTCGGTCGTAATATAAATATGAATGACAGTAAGGCATACATGATGATAGTGATGTTGTTCTTTGCTAGAAGTCTTGTGGCAACGGTAAGTCTACATAAATCTGATTGAAATCACCTGGTGCAAACGAGATTATGAATTTCATTATTTTGTGTGAGTTCTGGATGGGATCAAGCATGTACAGAACAATTAAATGACATATATTGGAAATGAGAGTGTTCCAACTTTAAACTCACCCACAAAATATTCTATTTATGATATAGTTTTTTGCTTGAAAGGCAATGAATTCAATATGGGTTTCATACCATGATATAAGAACACAAAATGCGTACCCATTTAATTACACATGGATTCGATGTCCACCTTCCTTATAATGTTCTCATATTAATTCAACACATGTACTGCGTTCTGACCAATCTTGATGTTTAAAACTTACTGTCCTACAATAATTAACCTTTTCAACGTTCAACAAAAATAATTCTTATCAGAAGCGACACTTACTTTGTATGATGTACATAGCAACCAGACAGTAAATTCAAATACTCCTGCAATATTATATTCTCTTTGCTTAATTGCTACAAAATTAACAGAATTTGAAGAAAATTTTTCAAATTAAAATTTGATCGACATTTCAAAATTACTGAGAATCTGATTACTTTTTTGAAGTGTTAAAATGTTGACTCCTGTATCTATTTGTAGCTTCTTGTACGACCTATGGATTACGGTTACTCACGGCAACCACTTGGTGAAGTTACCCTTAGGAATCTGAAAGTTGTTGCTTCATTGCTACTGTACATTGCAAGGAAAACCAGTGTACCACAGGGGTCTCCAATTATGGTATGTTAGATTCCACATGTTACTGTCATGTAATACTTACCTTGTGAG